TATATATATAATGTATTGTATTGTATATTAGCTGATTTCTTATTATTTATCTTCTAATTGTTTATTATCTTTATCATCTTATTATAAAGCTAGTTTAAATCAATATCATTTTCTCTCTTTTATATTAAACAAGCCGACAAGAACTCTTAGACTTAAGCTCGTGCTCGAGCTCGAACTCGATAAAGTTACTCAAGCTCAAGCTCAAGTCGAGGGTGGCTCGAGCTCGACTCGACTCGTTTACACCCCTAATTCTGGGCTCAATTTCAGATGTCGATGCTATTGCAGCATCCTGTGAGGCCGGCCACGTGTCATTGCCATATTGGCGCCCGCATATAACTCTACGTTCATAATCTGAATGTAATATCTTCTACTTTCCCTCCAAGTTTCATTGTTTGGGTCTGAATGTAACATCGTCTCTTCCTCTCCTCCCCCATTTGACAATGCCGTGCTATGAACATAAATTTAAATAGACATTTTTAAGATAATCAAAAAATTTATTTGAGTTATTTTTATTCATATTCAAAATTAAATTTAAATTAATCCCAATTTTAAATTTTTAATGCCTTTAAACTATTTATATAGAAAAGAAAAAGTATAATTTTTTGCTTCATGGTTTTTGCTAGATCTGATTGAGAAAAAATATACATATATTAAAGGATTATTTGGATATAGTGCTTCAGCTAGATCTGATTCAAATATATTAAAGGAATATTTGACTGAGCTATTTTGATTAGCCAACAGTTGTCTTCATGGAGTATTTTGGGCTGTTTTTGAGCTTTTGGTCTTCAAGTTTTGTGGACATGGTCTCCAGTTTGGCTTTGGGTTTGATACTTGTTATGCTAAATGTCATTGCCTTCCTGCAGCTGCTCTGGCGTTGCTCTAATTGTATGGTTGCAGTCTATTTGCTATTGTTCCAGGTGCAGACATATGAGGTTGTTTTTTAGAAGTGCATTTTTAGGGTTCTGTTTGGGTGAGATCTGGATAGTCTTAAGAGGCATTTCATTGGTTTGGCTGGTTTATGGTGGTGCGGTGCTGATTGTTGTTGATTCTTATGGAGTTGTTTTCGGGTCTATCTAAGCTATGATGTTAATTATAGAGTCCTATTATTGTTGGTTAAATCTTCTTGCTGACGGTGCTTCATAGTTGCAACTAGCCTTTTTTTTGTTTGTTAGGTTGATCCAAGTAGAGCTGTAAATGAGCCGAGCTTGAGCGAGTTCAGGCTTGGCTCGTGTTCGAAATCGGCTCATGAACAGTGTGTTCGTGTTCGGCTCGAAATTGGTTTGTTAAACTAAAATTGAGAAAAATAGATGTAAAGTGTGGGATTCGAACCTGGATCAAATATATACAAAAGAAGACACTAACCACATTGCCATATGAGGTGTTATGATTTAAACTTAGACATAAATATATATATATATATATATAATATTATTATATAAATAATATATGTAATATATTGTTATATAAAAAGTTATATAATTTTTTTTTCGAGTCATTTCGAGCC